CACATTGACGACAACGCGGGGGATATATATCCCGCGCATTGCAGGCCGTGTCGGACCGTGCGGGGGATATATCCCCCGCACCCATTACACTAATTTTTTTCGCGCACGCCTGGTTCTTCTAGAAGTTTCTTGTAATTATTGAATGGAGGAGACCTTGACCTAGCTAAAAACATAGTGGTCCATAGAATGGTCACGTATGCTTCAATTTGGAGGAGGATTTCTGAACCATACGAAATCTTCAGCCTAATAAATTTTTCGTTTACTTTTTCTTCCTATGAATGTGAAGGTTTAAATAGTAGTAGAAGTAGATACGGTACCTTAGAGATGACAATATATGTGTTTGATTAAAATAATCAACTCAAAATTGCCTTTGAAGTTTATTGCAGCTTGTTCTAAAGAATATCACTTTTTCATTGTTATTCCATGTCTTTCAATAGAAATTCCGCTACTGTACCTCCGAGTAGGTTGTGCTCATTACAATATATTGATCTGGCCTTGTATTGATCATTATTTATGTTTTTATCACTCAAATTTGCTTGACAACCTTGAGGCGGAGGCGGGGCGGGGCGGCCGGGGTCGTTGCCCCCAAACGCGGGTCGTGGCAAAAGTGTCCAAACTGGCGGTTGTGTAAGTGTTAATTGATTGTGGTTTGTTAGACTTGTCTGATGTGCGCTCTTCAGGATGAGTTGCGACCTAACTGTTGCATATGGGTGACAATTTTGAGAGTGCGATGACAGGCAAAATATTGGGGCGATGAATGATGCGAGTTGGTTGATGCAGTCGCTTATCTATCCAAATGCCTATGCGGAGCACATGCTGTGTCGAATGCATTGTGGGGGAGCAGTGCGAATGCACTTAAAACTGGTCAGCGTATAATAGAATGTTCAAGAGGGTTTTGGATACTTTCGCCCGGAATTATCTCTTTCTCACAACCTTCACTGTATCAAGTATATGGTGAGCACATCGGCAGAGATTGCCTGCATGTTCACCCCCTATCACTGAACCACGTCCTGCATTTAGGCGTCCCAGGCGACTTAGGTAGTTCTAATCAAGCTTCAATCAGTGCTTCAAAGCGAACCAATTTCATCCTATTGTGTGGTGTTTTATTCGTAGGTCGTGGTATATGTTCGTTTCTCTATGTATGTTCCGAAGTATTCTAGTTTGGTTACGGTGACAGGGGAGAGTAGCGATGCGGGAAGTTTGTTTGTGCCATTGATTTTTTGAAAAGGAGGTGCAAGAATGTAAAAAAGAATGCGGGTATTTGAGGTATCAGGGTTATTGCGGGCAGATTGTTGGGGGTGATCAATCTTTTATTTTATAAAGCCGCTACTTTTATCGTATAACTTCGTATAATGTATTGTGATAACGAAGTTATTACGTATATAACTGCTTAGCACACTTCCGTTCATTCCACATGGTGCTGCAGTGGCAGCTGGAGGGCAGTGGAGAGAGGAAGGGAGGATGAGGAAGGGAAGCGAAAAATCTACCGTCATATCATGATTGTGTCCCTTCTACTGTATGAAACACCATTGTGTTGCATACGCGTCACTTCCAGGAGGTGTTGGTGTCACAGGAGGAAGGGACCATAGCGGAGGATAGAAAGCTTGCGCAGGAAAGGAAGGTCCCGGCGGTTGACGGGGGACTAATCTGGTACAATATAAACAATTTGGAATCGAAGTGTCTATGAAGTCCCCTTGTATAATATTTATCACACCAGATAAATTAAAACAAAGACTCATAACAATTCCAGATAGACTGTTCAATGATGCTGCAAGCAATCGATCCGCCTTTGCCAGCGCTTCTGATCGACACGCATGTCTTGCAAAGTCTTGAACAAGACAGGTGTCAATACATAAAACAAAGGATACGACTGGCAATAGACGTGGAACTACCAAAATCACTTCGCAAAGATGGTATTAACGAATACGACATTATACAGTATGAGACGCCTCCGGACACGAACTACCTCAGATTTCACGATATTGTCGTCAGAATCATACCACAGTAGGCATTTCTGTTGTGTTAGCTTTTGCAAATTCCCATAGCTGTAAAGAAGCCATCATCAGCAGGCTTTCAGAATTCAATTCGACGTCGTCGGAAACCTATCTATTCCAAATGAAATCAACAGATTTTTTGAAATTTGGAAGAGGTCCAAATTTGTCGAATGTCTTGCACTGGATATGAACAGGACATCAGAAGAACCTTATCTACCAAAGGACAAAACTATCCAGACAATGTCATCTTTTACTCAATATTTGATGTCTTTCGACGTATACCCTTTTTTGAACGGAGGCACGTTATTAGGTAGGTGACACAATGCGTACAGTAGCACGTAATTCTTCTACGTGTGAAGAAGTGTTCAGGAAATATAAGATGGTCGATTTATGGTTGACTCGGTGTCCCTTCCTCTCGTTAGCTCACTTCTCAAACTTCTCGGCTGTGATCACTCACTCGTTCATGAACACGATACTCGCTCTAAAATTTCAAAAATTCAAGAGAAAAATGCGACTTCGCGTTGCTTTCGTTTTTCGTCATTACGTTTGGGTTCATAATTCATTTTTCAGAATTTGAGGACATTTATACTCTGATCGTAGAAATCTACAAGAAGGTGCTTTCAAGGTCAAGAGGAACTTCATCTTGATTGCGCCATGTACTCGAATTTGATCCCGAGAAGTAATCAACTGAATGCGATGCAATATCATCCCGCCACCTGATCGTCCATAGGGAGATTGATCCTAATACTTGCCCCAGAATGCTTCATGCGTATTCGTCTTTACCCACTACACTACATTGTGAGGTAGATAAAATAATTTCTTCGAGATTCCTGGGTTTTCGCTTCGTTTCGAAATGCCGAGTGACTGAAAGTGTAGTCTCTGCCTTCAACATGCCGTTCAAATGGGGTCTTTGGTCAGTTTTCAGCAGGATTATTGAGCAAATTTTGTAAAAGTTCTCAGTTTCTAGGAGATGTTCCTCAAAATCTGAGGTATCCTTCATTATCCTAAACTATGGTTACCTGAATCCAATAAAAAGATGAATAACGTGGTCCCATTCAGGCGCTTCTCTCGTGGTGTGGTCCTAAACATCACTACACGTTATGCCCTTGTTAAAAAGGCAGTTTTTTTGTTTTTTCAAGACAAATCTACAAACCCGACATGTATACGTCAATTCTCAAGGGAAATGCTAAAACATGATATACAACGCAGCTCGCAATCAAAACTTTGTTTTCTCACCGTTTCTCCTCTTCTCTCTCCCGACCGACATTCCTAGCCCTTGGTATCCACTTGCGATTGACCGTGAGACTACAAATGACGGCTGAGCGTGAGACCACAAATGACGGGCGATGAACTGCCATCGCGGATGGCAGGTAGCCTGATTAAACTTCGTTATTGGCATTCCATGGGTGTGAGAACGGCCTCGATTAGCGCGCAATCGCACGTGGCCGTCGAAGGCTGGGGAAGTCGATCGGCAGTAAAGAGAAGCCCATCAACGCTAAGAAAACGTGGACTAATCTTGAGGACTACAACACGAACGAAACGCTCACTTGAGACGGAGCATGTCGTCTTATTCTAAAATACGAGGAACGGTAGTTTTATGGTAGTAGAGGAACTCCATCTCTAGCGTTCTAGGTTTTGACGAAACATCTCCTCAAAACGGGAGACTTTTTCAAAACAGGTCTAGTAATATTGCTGAAAACTGATCGAATATCCCTTTTCAACTCGAGGCTATGATTAAAGATTAGGTCTTAAGAGTAAGTTCCTACTAGAGTGCGAAAGAGGGGTCCCCAAGAGCACTGCTGATGAGTGGCTTACACTTCCGCGACTCAAAATTGCGAGGCAAAGACGGCCCTACCTTGTGTGCTGCCGTGCTGCCAGCGTAATCAACCACGGCATACGTGGTCTCTGCGTCCTCTCGCGTACGACGTACTATCTCGCGTTCTCCCTCTCCTCGCAGCGCTGTGTCTCTCCGTCGTACTACGGCCGGCCTCCTAAGGGAAATTTAGTGTTTTCTATGGTGCTTTTTGCTTTTTCTCCTCACTAATGTTCCCTTGCATCCCTTGCCTAATTCGGACAAAATAACGCATCAATTCAATCTCGACTCGTGCCTTTAAAAGAAAGGAATGTTGAGCACAGCGACTGCATTTATAGTCATTCAGCGTTTCGAGACATCAGAAACCCAGGTATCTTGGATAAAATTCTATGAATCCCACAATGTGGTGGATGAGGTCGAATACGCATGGCACATTCTCAGGCAAGGTTTAGTCCCATGTTTTCATAGAACGGCGAGCTTGTAGAAGTAGGACCATATGTGCATCAAACACATTTGATTACTTCTCTGGATGAAACTCGAGTGTCCGTCCTAGTAAAAGGTTACTGTTAATAATCAAAATATTGAATAATTTCACTGTCTGTTGATGAGTTTCATCCATCTTCCTCCCTGAATGTGACATGATTACATGACAAGTTATACAAATCTGTTATAACCCTACGTTGAATATCCATGAACAAGGATCAGTTCACCACAGTGATAACTCGTCAAGACATGAACTCTTCCAAACGTCGGATATATAGTGAAGGAGATGCCATTGCGGATGCTTTGAGCGTCAAATTCAGTGTCCAGGGCACGCGTAAGATGAGCATGCATTTCATATGACGCGACGAATGGATTACGGTTCCCCTAAATATTGGGTTGATCCATAATTTCTGGCCGAATTTCAACACTTTGATTTATTCAAGTTTTATCTTTCCTAAAGAACAATTGATCAAAAACATAACCACCATCATAATCACTGATATGCACCCATTTGCTAGGGAACGAATGGATGCATTCCTCCCAGAACGAGAGAAGCTGTGAGATGAAAAGCTCGAAGAGGTCGTTTTTGGGGTGGTTGTATTTACTGACTTTTTCCTCTCCTAGCTGCTGCTTCAGGGGCTGGGAGGTGATAGTACGATGGAGCAACGTAAGGGCTATACGATAGATGTGGTGTCGTGGTCCAGCCAGTTTCCCTCGAAACGTGGCGAGTTATCTTTGCAATGTGATTTCGGGCGGTCCTTCGGAGAAAGGAGATTTTGAGACTTTTCCAACCGTTCTCCCGCACTGCTGCGGCCAACTTTGGAAGCTATTCCATGGTTACCTTCGCAATGCTTGTCTGCATAAAGTGAAATGGTTCTCAAAACGGGATACCCAGCGAATCCAACAAAACGGGGTCACACCCTCTGATGAAACAGCTCGGGTTTTGGTTGATGTGCTGCGTCCAGGCTGCGAGGTAGCCACCGGGCGAGCCGCGTGTTGTTATCGTAGGGGACTCATGACTCATCTGCACTGGTGACCAATAGGGAATGTCTTGTCTATACGGTCGCAGAATGAAACTTCTGCAGATGGTCAGGCGTGCTTCTCGGTCATGGTCAGTCCATGCATGCTGTTTCCATCGAGGCTTCATTCTGCTACAGTCCATTCCATTCAGGTGTCGACTCATGGAGCGTAGGCTGCGCCCAGATGTTTGCTACAGTTTCCTGCTAATAGCGTCCGGATGCACTTCCTATTCGTAGCGCAAGCGGTCCTCATCGAAAGTGATTGGGGGTCCGTGATGAGGTCGAACTTGCAGCTCCTATCGCTTTTGCGTGTGCTATTTGATCTTGCCTACAGCACTCCTTGCAAGGTTCTTCTTAAAATTGTCGCAAGGCAAAATCGTTGGGTTTGGTTGTTGATCTATTTTGATTCCTACTTAATTATCCCTTTGCGCATTTGAGCTTCTGAAACATCCTGGCTGAAGGTCCTGATGTGTTCTTCAACATATCAACTTATTTCATATGAAGCTAATTTGACATGAAGAAAATTGAATTTGAACCAAAATCGGCCAGGAATTATGGATCAACCCAATACTTGTGCCAAAGAGTCTCCCAACGTAAAGGCAGGCCGTCAAGTGACAGCTTCTCGCGCGGACACCCTTCACAATCGTCGAGCTCCATCATTCGCCTACTCTCCTCATCAAGAGCCTAGCAACTCGGTGCTCTCTTTCATCGACGAGATCTATTGCAGAATGTCTTTGATCTTCGACGTAGCTCCGACGTCGGAATTGTGAAGGTACAGCTCTACGCCGGCTCATCCTCACACCTAATAGATGACAAAGGTCAATCGGAGATGGTCACTGACAACGATCTATGGAAGCCCTTCCTCCAATGCTCTTTCAAATCTCGCTTTTCTCCTGCAAAGCTGAGAGCAGGCAGCACCAAGGAATTGGAGAGGTGTGCTCGGACCTCCTACTCTTGAGGTTCACCGCTCAGTTTCCATGAAGTTGAATACTGCGATCCAGCCATACGACGTCACACTACCTTTCCGGTAAGTTTATTCCTCACGCTTAGCTGCTGCCAAGATGTACGTATTCATACCTCTTCAATCGGACTTCCTTCGAGGAGTACAGGGACGCCATGGAAGCGCACTTCGCACTTGATTTTGGATGATGGTAAGATCATAGTGACTACACTGGTGTGCAAAACTTAAAGCAACAGCTCCAGATCGAAATCGCGGAGTAGAATCGTTTGCTAATGAAGGTGTACACGGCGACTTGACTGCTGGTGAAAAAAAAAACAAAGAAACCGCCGATGAAGCCTTAAAAGAATTACTCCCCTCTTCGCACTTAGAATGAAAAGAGGGGCGTGTCAGACAAGCCCGACTTAGACTCTTACCAGAAAGAAGTGCGGCTGCAATCGCACATGCACCGACATAAGCAGAGACATATGCATCAGTACAAACAAAGAAATGCGATAATTAAATGAGTTAAGCAAGTAAAACCAATCAAAAGAGGCAGCATTAATTTCGAAACGCGGTACAGTTACACGCAATCGCGCAAGGACCCGCAGCCAAGCACGCGATCTCCACGGCTGGCAAGTGGGCGTTGTTGCAGATTTGCCGTCGCTCACTTCAAAAGCGTCCAACTTCCTTTCTAGCGGCTTTCCAAGATATGCCTTTTGTCCGACAACACCAGTTGTTTTTGACTAGGGCTAGTGTATCATTTCCACACCATTAGTGTCGAAGGTAAGCAGTAGGGCTAGTGTATCATTTCCACACCATTAGTGTCGAAGGTAAGCACCCTGTTGGTGTTGCTTTGAGGATGGATCGATAAAATAGCATAACTTAGTAGGAACCCCATGAAAGTGGATCGAAATGTGCGAAAATGATGACAAAGGTGTTTCAATCATGCACGGTAAACCGGGTCTCATATATCATGCGCTGTGCTTCAATCTGGTCTCAACCTAGACTGACATGCAACACGAGGGGGTTAATGGAACAGGAAAAGACGGAGTGTGTTATAATT